CTTGATATATATGTGTGTACGTGTGTGTGTGTGTATATATATATATATTTATTATTATTATTATTATTTTTTTAAGAAAAAATCTAAGTGGTTTTGGACCCACACTGACTTTTGATACACATCGATAGATTTTTGTGATGATGTGAGGAAAAGCATCTCTTGCAGGAGGAGACTGTTCCTCTGTGAGAGTTAATGCATGATTTTTCCCATCTTTATTGTCCTCATCTGTGTCTTTCCACTGTCCCCTGTGCTGCTTTTGGAGCAGTAGAACTGCAACAACTTCAGCGCGCACTATGAATTCATAAGGTAACATCATGTTTCCTTGTCGTGGATGACACCAGGCTGCACGGTGTGGTTGACATGCTGGAGGGATGCCATCCCAAGGGACCTGGACAGCCTTGAGAGGGTGGGCCTGTGCAAACCTCATGACGTTCAGTAAGGCCAAGTGCAAGGTCCCACACCTGGGTGGGGACAGTCACAAACATAACTACAGGCTGGGCAGTGAGTGGGTAGATATAAGCCCTGTGGAGAAGGTCTTGAGGGTACTGGTGGATGAAAAACTCAACAGAAGCCAGCAATGTTGACTTGCAGCCCAGAAAGCCAACTGTATGCTGGCTTCATCAGAAGCAGGGGCAGAAAGTCGAGGGAGTTGATTGTCCCCCTCTGCTCTGCTCTCGTGAGACCCCACCTGGAGCCCTGCATTCAGCTCTGGGGCCCCCAGCACAAGAAGGACATGGACCTGTTAAAAGAACTCCACAGGAGGGCCACGAGGGTGATCAAGGGGTTGGAGCACCTCTCCTACAAAGACAGGAGAGCTGGGGTTGTTCAGTCTCAGGGAAGGACGGCATCCCGTGGGAGGGACCCCACGGGGAGCAGGGGCAGGGAGTGACCGTGAAGGGGTGGTGGAGATGCAGCGTCAGGGACTGACTGCAGCCCCCATTTCCCTGCACTGCTCAGGGGGAGGAGGTGGAAGAGGGTAGATGGTGGGGGGAGCATGATCTGGGGTTGCTTTCAGTTTCCTGCTGTTCTAGTCCACTAGTAATAGACAGATTTTTCTTTTTAATGTTCCTATGCTGAGTCTGTGCTGCCCATGACAATAATTGCTGAGTGCTCTCCCCGTCCTTATCTCAACCCTTGAGCCCTTTGCATCATATTTTCTACCCCTTTCCCTTGAGGAGGGGGAGTGGAGAATGGTTGTGGTGGAGTTCAGCTGTCCAGCTGGGTAAAAACCACCACAGGTGGTCTTCTAAGGTTCCTCCCAACCCAAACCATTCTGTGATTCTATGATTAACCTTTTTTATTTCTTTTTTCGTTTTTTTCTGTTGCTTGAGATATTTGCACAGAATGGTCTGTGAAACACAGATATTCATTCCTGCACAGCGGTAACTCCTGTTATGCATTACTGTATATGTTGTACAAGTTGTTGAGGTATATGAAAAGCTATCCTGTGGGTAACTTTACGTTTATGAAGTCTGAATTTCATCTGCTGTTTTGTGACCCGTTCGCTCAGTGATAGGAAGTCCTCTCACCAAGAGCTGTTGCCACCTTCCTTGTCACCCCTTCTGTAAAGCAGCGGGATACGGGAAGCACTGCTGTTGGTCAGGTGGTGGTGGAAGAGGGGACCTTGTCCCATGGCAGTTAAAGTTGTTAGGAGCCTCTGGAGATAGTTGTGGGTTTTTCTGAGAATCTTTTAAAACTCTGAGTAGTCTCTGCCATCCAGGTCTCTGTTGTCCACGTGTGTAGTGACCCTTCTAAGAAGAGTAATGCATTTCAGGCACAGCTTTTCTGCACGAGCCCACACGAGTAGCAGTCATTTTAACATGCCAGTTAGTGCATCTACTGAATCTCTTTATATAATTTCTACTTGTTTGCTTAATTTAAATACTAAATTTACAGATCTGAGATTCTCCGGATTCATAATGAATATATATTTACTCTTGCTCTCTTCCTTGCTCTCTCCTTAGTAGCCTCACACCTTCCTTCCCCAAACACTGCGTGTGTCACTTTGCTCAAACAGTTGTCCAGGTATCGTACAAATGGAGAGCTGTGCATCGCAGCCACTATTTCAGCAATTTCCTACATGAGTTTAAGGTGATTATCATCTAGGCCTGGTAACTCCTGGCTACCCAGTGAATCGTGGACCTCATCCTTTGGAGCCTTCCTCACCAGTTGAAAATAATTCCTACATGGGCTGCTCTTTGCTCTCACAAATGCGAAGGGAGTCAAGTAGACTTTATGCCTTATTTTCTTAGTACTCTTACTATTGTTCTTTTTCCCTATAATCCGTCTAATCTGTTTGCTGGTATGTTTGAAGAGGTGTTTTTTATTTTCTTTTTTTTGTGTGTTTGTTTTTTTCTCCCCTCCCTAAAGCCTTTAAGAAGTTTTACCTCAGTCTTTTGTTTATCAGTATTCTGCTAGAATAGTTCTGAATTTTCCTCATTTAGGTGGGGCTTTACTTCTCTGGTGGATACCATTTAAATTAACTATCTAATCCAGCCTTTCAAGGGGAAGAAGGAAAGAGAGGGGAGAAAAAAGGGTGGTCTTCTACTTTGTTGGAAGGTATTGTGCATTTTCTCCAAGTTTCATGTATTGTATCTTCAGTCACGCGTTATCTCTTAGCATTACACCATCTGGTGTAATGTTCTTTTAAAAAAATATTCCTCTCCAGTATGTAGATGCCCTTTTCAAAATTAAATACCACAGTGTGGATTCTTGCTCTTGCAAGAATGATTAATCTAAATACATATGGCCACTGGCACAGGGTAGCTCCTCGGTGGCAATGTTTTGAACCAGATTCTTTTCATTCCTCAGGATCAAGTCAGGAGTTGCATGTTAAATTGTCCCACTGTACTCTTTTTTTCCTTCTGTTGTCCATTTTAGAACTTTCAGAGCTGCTTCAGCTACGAGATCTGTGGCTCCTCAGGAGCATCCCAGGTGCGTTATTTTGTGGTCTAGAATTGGTTGTGGCTAAATGAGTGCTAATGAAGGTGCCTTCTACCACTGTTACCTCTTGGTTCCTCTCTTGACTCGCTCACGCTCTCCCAGATCTATCCATCCTTTCTTCCTGCGTTACACAGTGGGTCAGTCCTGCAATTCAGACAAACCTTACACCATTGCCCCCCCATTCGTAATTCTAGCATAGGACCAGCCCAGCGACTGTCAGGTGCATATGCTGCAAGGCCGTGTGATGCTCTGCCCTGACTCACCAGCAGCTGCTGGATCTCATTAAATGCATGCTGGGCTGTCTCCAAAGCCTGTGCTTGCCTCTACACTACAGAAATGCAGCCCTGTTTCTCCCCCATCCAAATGCCTCTTCCCCGCAGTGTGTTTTTTCCCTCTACCTTTTTGTTAGGTGAATTCTGCATTCCTCTCTGTTAGCGTGGTGGTAGCCACCCCACTTCACATAACTCCTTTTTTGTACTTCCAGCTTCTTGTTACTGAGCAAAGTGCCTTTCATTTAATTGCCATTGGCACATCTGTTCTCCACTGTGCGTGCAGGGACAGCTAGGGGTATGCAAGGACACGGTGGCCTGAAAAAGGAAGTGTTGGAGCGTAGCTTCTGCTTGGGAAAACTTCCTTCCCCCACCCCCAGCGGTGAGTGCTAGCAAGTGTTAGCAGCCGGGAGAAGCCTGAGGTGTGATTCTGAAGGTATTAAACTGGGTGCGATCGACAGGAACGGCACCTGAGAAAGTGGAGAGAGACAGAGATACATTTGTAAGCTTTCATTCTTTTCTGTTGCTGTTCCGGTGTGCTTTTACTGCTTTCCCTGGAAAGAGGATTAGAATGAAGACTGTCTAAAGACTACGCTTTAGTTGCATTGCTTGATATTCAGCTATCTTCTTGTGGCTATTTCAATGATAAAAGTTGAGTAGGGAGATTAGAGATAATGTAAGGTGTGTCTCTAGTGGTTATATCCATAAAACATCATACACTGATATATTATAGATTCTGTTTTCCCCTAAAAAACTTGTTGGGAAACATTTTTGGAAATAGGTGACTGATTTGTCTCTTTGGTGCAGCAGTCCCTATGCTCTGAACATATGGCATGACTTACCGTCCTTGTAGTAAAAGCTGCCCTGTGAAATGTTCGCCTTCTACTAGAAGCCCCTAGGCAACGTGGATTATGATTTGCTGTCATGCATAAGACTGTTTACGCCAGTAAATGTGAGTAAAGTTTTGTGCTGAAAAACGAAGCGCTAACGGGAACGTCCATGGCTCTGAAGGGGACAGGCAGACTTGTTACGAGCTGTTAACCACTTGCCTTGCTTTATGTAAACAGCAGAGGTAGAATGACTTTTCTTGAAGTCTTTCTCTATAGGTACAGAAGTCAAATCGACAGCTTTGGGAGACAAAAAAAAGTAGGGGAGTGGATTAACTGGGTATCAGGGTAGTACCATAATACCAAACCACTGTTTATGCGCAGTTTAAGTCACGTTTTCCTCTTCTGAAGGTCATCTTTTAACATGACCTTATAATTCATATTAAAGCCTTATCTGCAGTCCCTCTGCTAAGTCTTTAAAGTGTTCTTGCAGAAAAACTGAAAGGACCTCCCGCTCTACTCTGGTGCAGGCCGTGGTGCATTTGCTTTCCGCAGAGGGAGCGTGGGGGTGGTAATGCGCTCGTGTAGCATGAAAGCATTCAGTGCCTTCCCTGCACAACCTCCTGCACGAAGAGCGCCTCTACACACAGAGCATGCAAAAAAATTCAAGCTGGAGTGCTGTTGATGAGGGCTCTCTTCTAAAATTAAAGACTTGGTTATTTGAATCTTGCTCAGAAAGGAGCCCAGTAACACACTGATCTTCTAAAACGCTTTAAATATTTAAGATTCATGGAACTGTTGTTGCTGATAATGATTTTCACAAATGAGATGAAAAACCATTACAAAATTAAAGGACTTTTAGAAATCTTTTTTTTTTTTTTTTCTTTTCTAACCAAAACCAGGGGGTGGGTGCGGGGGAAGGGAAAAGCTTTGAAGTCTCTGAGATCTTTTCCCTGAGGTCAGAAGTTTCTGGTGATGTAACACACAATACAGACCAAGCCTTCACTTATCAAGGTTAAAGTTGACGGAGCCTGTATGAACTTGTCAATCATAGGAAGCAGGCAAAAACAAGCCAGCTGTTGTGAGGCATGGCTTTGAAAATCCTCTGCGTTACAGTAAATGAGACGCAGAGGTTGCGAGGGATTCAGTGCTGTGGGGCTTTCAAACGGGCTGGCACATTTGCAGGGATGCAAAGCTCACGTATCCAGTGACTGTGGATAAACATCTGTAAATCCTGGTAAGGCTGCCTTACGCTTCGTGCTGGCGCGTTAGAGAGGCGGCGAGATGCACGAGCCTTAATTATCTCTCCCCCTCGGTTCTGGACGGAAGATTGCAGTATGTATTCATACAGTATTTCTTTTGTTCTCCAGGGCTTTGAGTACACGCTGTCTGCTGTCCCTATCAGCAGAAGCTACAGTAACAAATTAGGAGCGGTGCAGCGCTGGGCACAGGCTTGTGTTTTGCTTGGTAGGAACGCCTGCTGTATTCGCTGGTGTTTCAGGAGAACGGGGGGGAAAGCGTGCGCTGATTCCAGCTAGGATGCTCTGCGTGCATGTGCTCGCGCACACGCGCTGCTTTTAGCAGCTTTTGTTTTCACAGTTGGCATAATGCACAGGGGATGAGAGGGCAGCGCCGCTCAGAAGCCTTCGCTTTCTGCTCTGAGGGCTGCGGAGCTGCGTGCTGTGTGCTGCCTGGGGTGCCAGGCTCGGGGCTCCTCTCGGCGAGGGGTGGTGCGAGAGCTTTTCATCGTGTCGTTTTCCTGGCAAGCGTGTGGCTGTGAGTGCCGGCTCGCACGAAGACCTTTCCTCAGCAGCAGGAGATAGGGGCTGGGAGCGTAAGAGAATCGGATGTGACTACTGGAAGCAAGGGGTGAGTGCAGCGCGGGGAGAAAAGATGGCTATTGAAACGTGTGCGTGTGCATGCTAATTCATTGAAATAACTGCTGGGGGATTTTTTGTCTTCGGAGGTGAGCTGTGTGTTCGCTTTGCTGCCTGCCTGAGAAACCCAGGTGACCTCGCTGTTCCTCACAGAGCGTTTCATTTCATAGCTTCTGATCTGTTCCTGAATTTTTGTTCAGCTGCAAGCAGCTGTTTTCTGTGGTAGCAGCAACAAGAAAATAGCAACAGCATGTCAGAAAAAAAAAGTCTAGAGGTTAAAAAAAAAATCATAGGAATGGCAATTGGAATGTGGCTTTTTTGAATAAATTCACAAAAAATCATTTTTCTTGTAGCTTTTTTTTTTAACATGAAAGTGATTTCCTTGTTAGCATTGTTTGAAAATATTGCCTTTTGTCTCTGCAGTGGTTGCCATTTATGCAATATGATGGGTCTTGTTAGACTGTTGGGATATTCTGATGATTGCATTCGGTGTGTAAGTACAGAGCATATTAACTGGCTTGCTCAAGTGAGCAGAACTCATTTTAAATCCACATACAGGCAATCTGCTGTGTGCTAGGACAGGCATGCAATAGATAAAGCAAGTAAGAAAACAGCCATAAAAACATTTTTCTTTATCATTGATTTTTGATGTGCAGCAAAATGGAGGAGGGGCTTGTATTTTCTGAACTAAGGAAAGAACAACATCTCTCCCTCCACCCTTTCCCTAAAGAAAGGCTCCTATGCTGCAAGATAGTTAATTTTAATCAAATTTTATTTATTTATTTATTTATTTATTTATTACTGTGGACCAATGCATTGTGCTGTTACCTGTGACTGACTGGCCTACATTTGATCCATCAGCATCACATCTTTGCGTACTGGATGCAGGATTAGCGTGGGTCTGTTACATTTAGTTCCGATTCTCCTGGGGTAATGCTTTTAGAAAGAGAACATAAAGTGAAAATCCATTGCTGTGTGTGTTGCCATGCAGGCAGGACACGAGGGAAGATCTGGTAGGATAGGCAGACTGACAGGCAGTGCCTGTTATCATATTTCTTGCCGTGATAAAGCCAGGTGATTGTGGAGGGGCTGTTAAGCTAGACTGACATTTTGTTCTATCGCATTGGGTGCAACAGCTAAGCAATATCTAGTGTGACTAAACAGATAGCTACCAGCAGATGCAGGTGATGTTAGCAGGCATTGTGAAGAGGAATTGGAGAACCAAGACTCACATCGTGATAAGCGGGTTGTAGCGTAACAGCGATGTGCTGTGGGGTATGCTTTGTGAAATGCCTTGCTGGTTTTGGACCTCCTGGTGTCTTCCAGAGTATACCATGGCATCTTTCTGAGAGAGAGTGCAGTATTCATTGTTTTCATGATTCTTTTCATCTTAAGACATACTTCGGTTTTAAGACCTTTGGCTCAGCAGTGCTTCTGGGATGGTAGTTGCCTTCGTCAGACCATGGCAGTGACCAGCTCTCCTTCTTGGTAGTGACCTTCATGTCGTGCCTCTTCCAGGAGTGACCACTGTGGCACAATCATTGTGGTGAATAAATCGTGTGTTTTCCAGAGGATCCTCTGTTCTGTGAGGAATAATAAACACTTCCGTGCAATTTTGTACTCCAGGGTGTGATGAGGCATCTCTAGAATATGTTTCTTATCTACTGCATAGTGGTTACTGCATGTTGTGCCGAGCCAGTAGTGACAGCAGATGCAGTGCTTGTCAGAAAGATGGGCTGCCAGTACAAATTGCCCTCATACTGCGTGCCCAGACTGGTGCTGTGGTATCAGTGTCTCCTTACCACTGTTACAGTAAAACCGATTTGGGGTGCTGGAGCCTCTGAAAGAAAATGTATTTGGGACTCAGAGGAGGATTTAGATACCGAACAGATGTCTGCATGTGAGTGAAGTGCCTGTGCCAGGTATAATCCGTGGAAATATTGGACTCAATTCATCTGGCACAGCACAGGTGTCTAGTGAGACCTGAGACAGCCTCGTGTATCCCACTGACCTGTGCTGGGGTATCCAAATGTATCCCCTAAAAACGGTGAGGCCCACGTGTGATTTGCTTGTAGAGACCACTCCAGTACGATGTGAATCTCTCAGATTGCGCTGCCGGTATCAGTACAGACTGACTCGCGAGCAGACCTCTGACTTCTTCCCGAATTTCAGGGAGTCTCACCCTGCACGTCCTGTCCCAGCTTCCTCGTGTCCTGTCGTGGTCCCGAGCAGCGCTGCACTGGGTAGAAGAAGCTGCTCTTTATTTGCAGGCTATTGCACAAGTGCTCTTGGATCCCACTGTGCAAAGTGCTCCGCAAGTACACAATGAGAGCACAGTTTGAGCGCATAAAGTTCACAGCTGAAGAAGTAGCATGTCGGCAAGGGCCCTGCCTATAAACAGCCTCCTGGCATGAGCCAAGGCTGCGTTTCACAATTGCTGCAAGCCACATAATGATCTGGTTTGAGCCAGGTCAGTTCCTTGATCCAATTTTCTGTGGGGCTGTACAATTGCTACTGCGAGTGCAGTGAGGAGGAGAGCAGGGAGACAAAATCGGAGCTGACTAAGGAGGAGACTGCCTCTTTAGGCAAAATATCTGCATTGAGGTCAGCTTAAAGGCACCGCCAAGCCGCGGCCTAGGGAATGAGGGGTTGTTGCTGCAGGAGGAGGACTCTCAGGGAGGATTCCTACTCAGGTATGAGGGCCTTTTTCCAGCGTAGCCTGTAGAGTCCTACGAGGAATTTCAGCTAAATCAGAAACAGCCACTCCAATCGCTTTCTTGTGCCAGTAAGCGGCTGGAGCACACGGTTGCTTACATAACTGTGCTTGGGTTTTATGGTTAAACGTCAGCGTGTAGGTGAGGTCTCCAACAAGCAATGCGCTTTTGTAATGTTAGCTCATGCCGTTTTGCCAAGGTTATCTAGTCTGGGGTTTTAGAGTTGGAGCGTCTCGTGGCACTGCTGGCTCGGCCTGAAGCGCTCTCAGATAAACTGCAAAGACAGCTGGAAATCAGACATACTGGGTCCACCAGGGTGCTCTGCCTCTGCTGGGACGGGACGATCAGCCAGACCGTTCCGCCTCTATGGCCAGATTTAGTCAAATCCCGAGGATGGGACAAAAGGAGGAAGTGGTTTGGGGTTGTTTTTTATGGCAATCAGAAATGTTGCCCTTCTGATCGGTATCTATACGTGATTCACTTGGGTAATTGCTCCTTGGCTCCACTGTCAGGCTCCTGTTAGCGCCTCAGTGTGTGCGTGTATTTTCTATGATGTTGTTGTCTTATTACCAGGGGCTGTCGGGACTGCAGAGGTTTGCTTGATTTCCCTGTCTTTAGCATTTCCTTGGCCTTTATGTTTCAGCACCCAGCATGTATGCCCTGAGTTGGAAGGGCTGGAAGGGTACCTGGGGGATGTGCTTGTCCATCTGGGTAGCCAGCCCTGATTTATATATGAAGGCTCCTGTATTTATGAAATGCTGACTGTGCTTCCCCTGCAGCTCAGGCGAAGTGCACGGTGCAAGCAGCCTGACCCCCTGCATGCCAAGGATGGGGATTTTGCTGGGGGCCTTCCCCGCCCGAGGAGGGGGGCTCTTGCCCTTGGCATTATGCCACTCTGCCATGGGGGTGGTGATGGGGGAGCTGTGGGTTCGGAGATACCCTAAATTGTGGGAGATGACCACTCTCTTACCTGGAATGACAGCAGTAATTAAGCCGATAGTCGTGTTCTCCCTGTGCCTCTTGCTTTGCGATGCTTGCTTATGGATGAGCTCGTTTCAGTGGTACATTATCCTTAAATAATTCTATGAATAATTAAACGATTCCACAGGCCTCCCTTCTGAACTGTCTGTCTGTCTGTTGGGCACAGGGTTACCTGAAGTGCAGACAGATGCTGAGCAGCTCAGTGGACTTTGTAGTACTGATAATAATGTAACACCTTTGCAGGTTCTTGCCACTGTGTCCTCCCGCGGCTTGAAGCTTGCTTTCTTTTCCTCCTTTCTGAACAGTAAGCTCAAATCTCTCCAAAATATGGTGATAAGCATGTTTTGCATGAGGATCCACCCACACTGAATGCCAACTAGCCTCAGCGTTGAATGTGGCCACCTTGTCCGAGACCCATTTTCTGTGGCACTGCGTAACGTTTGGTTAATTTTGTGGGAACTGTCTGACAGCACGTATGCAACCACTGGTTTTATCTCTGTGTTTGCCAAGGCAGCGTCTCTAAATTCACCCATGCTGTGACTGCTTATTTCCTGGTCCTCTGCTCTGTGAGGTGACGGGACTACCAAAGCATTCACTGCTCCTGAGCCAGGGTAATAGTAAGCAAATTTCGTGACATGCTTTGGGTATGTAAACACCTCAGGTCGGTGGCGCACTCTGTCTGGTTTGCTTCCAGCAGCACGCCCACTTGTGATGTGCATGCTGAGCTCAGTACGTGCTGTACACCCTGGCTGAGGTGGTGCATGTCATTTGTCTCTGCGACATTTGGGGCCGGGCCCTGGGTTTCTCCACACGCCTAAGTGCAGCTACCATACCGCCTGATCTTGTGGCTTATGGCTGTGAGGATGAGTAGGGAGGCACGACATTTTCTTGCCTCAACTAGAAGAAAACTGTGCCATGCATGGGTTATCGAGACGAGGAAAATTGCTGATTTAAACATGGCACTTGATACTTAAGGCCTGAAGCCTTCACTTGGTAAATATTTCCATTAAAATCAGTGGAACTATTTACAGGCCCAGTTCTGCTCGCATTGAACTCCCCAGGGCAAACCAGCTGACTCGAGAGACGCCACGTAACCAAATCTGAGTCGCAGTGCCAAGCTTGGGCCTTGGTCTCTCTGGCCTTAAATCATTTCATTTAACAAAACTGTCCTCGGTCTAATATTAAAAATGAGAGTCAAGAAGTGCTGTTTTCATAAAAGAGAATTGACTCAGAATTTGTCAGACTGCTCGAAGTTTTCTGAACCAGCTGCACTTAGCTAGGAGCAAGATGAAGAGATCTGACTTTAAACGATATTCAGCCCCTCATTCATATTAAATAGAAAATGTGCATGCTAAAATTGAATTTAAAAATTTAACGCCAGATGAGAGATAAATTGCGTGAGGGACTGTTTGGGAATTAAATTGTGAAAAAGCCATCTCTCTTGGAAGTACAGTGCTATTTTATTACTGAAATGTAAAAGTCAGCGTGAATTACGATTTTTAAAAATCCCATACATCAGGCAGCTTAATGGAAATATCCAGATTTTTTTTAAGAACTGTTTTCCATAAGTGCTAAAATGTCACAGATCCAAGCACTATAATAATAATAAATGTGAACGTAATTGGATCATACATGAGTGAAAAGAGAACTTTTAATCTGTCGTCTTCCAAACTTCATTTTAAATATATTTTTAAATTAATTTAAATAGTAATGCGGTGTTTAATTCTCCAAAGAGTTTTCTTGAATTTATAGTGGACTTAACCTATTAGTTCTATTACGTGCTTTTGTTTCAAATGAGTTTTCATTCATTCTGGGGTCAAGCACCTACAGACCTATTTTCAAAAGCAGTGCAATAGGCTCAGTAACCTGTTCATGTTGCAAATTCTTATTTACCTTACTATAAAAATAAGCTGGGAAAGGTGACTCTTTCACAGTACCCTTGAGGGAAAGCCTGGGCAGTGCACGTGTAAAGGGTTGTTATTTCACAAAGCAGAGGCCAGAGCTGTCAGTAGCACAAGTGATATTAGTAATTCTCTGAAGCCTTTTACTTTTCTGTTGCAGCTTCTTTTCTAAGCTCACAGTGTCTCTTCAGCCTCCTTTAAGCAGAGAGCAAACCTGTCTCCTTTCAGGGCTCCAGAGGTACTTCTTTTTTCTGTCTTGTCTTTCTTCCCAATCTGTCTTTATCTGGTGAGCACAAACAAACTACATCTCTTGTGGCAAAGCGCAGGCCTGGAGCTGCGAAAGCCTGTTTCCTGACTGCACAAACAGAGAGCTCACAGTTGGAATAAAACCAAAAATATTTTTGCGTAGGATAAGACCTTGTTGGCCATTGTTTGTCATTTATGCTGACAGGACAAAAGAAGTTCAAGTAAGTAAAGTAAACCTGAATAGAAAATAATACACTTTCTGAATTTCCTTTTCTGTTTGTTTTGTTTTTGTTTTAGTGTCTTCAGAGACCTTCATTTTCTCTTTTCCACTTTTTTTAGCTTCAGCAAACATTTTATTTGCATTTGCTTCATTTTTCATCAGTTATACATCTAAAAATTCAACCACCGAAATTCATAATTAAAATTCACACCAGTAAGTTCTCATTTAAAATGACGCTGGAGCATATTAATTTTGCATATACGAAAGAAACCTGCTTTCTACATTCCACTGGTGACTCTGAAACAGAAGTGGAATTAGATCTTAGCACAGAAATAGAAGAGAAACCCTTGCAGTTGTGGCCGTGCCACACAGATCAGCGTTTCGGCTGCGCTGTGCGCTGAGACGTGCCCTGTACGCTGCGGCGCCTCAGGTTAACTCAAGGTTGTCGCATCCTGTGACTCCACGCACCCTAATTTAGCGTGACATTATGCTTTGACTCATCACATTAGATTAGGTACGCGGTGCCTGCATATACATGAGAGAATGTTTTTGTGCCGTATAGCTCCTGTGAACTGCAGGAGCCGGTGTTAAATGTTTGATGTGTTCTCAGCATTCGAGCCTCGTAGGTCATCTGTGGCCTCATACATGAGGAAACACAGCAGCAGCATGCTAATGATGTTTTCTTCTCCCTAGGCAAGCTGATATTGGGGCCCTAAGAGAAAACCCACGGGAAAAAAGGGATCAGCTGGACCAGAATATAGGCCACAAGTGGAAGGCATCTGTCAGACCTTTGCATGCAAGAGAGCCTACAGTTTTGTCTCACGAAAGCCGCGGGAGATCTGGGACGCTGCCGAGTGATTACAGATACTCTCAGGAAAACGTGAATGAGAAAAGCAAGGATTGCAGCTTGCCTCATCTCACGTGCTCCGAGCCACAGAGCTTGAACGAGAACCACTCCCGTCTGTCCCAGGGCACCGGAGAGGAAAATCGTAGAGCAGAGCCGGCGCTTCTCAATAAGAAACGTGGACCTGCTCCTCAGAGGCCTCCGCCACCTAAGAGAGATAAATACAGGCGACCAGATAATTCTGCACTGTCGCTTGGCGCCTCCTCTGAATCCTTGCTGGTAGCACCCAGCCATCCCTTTCCGTCCTCTTCCCCCAGCTCTGCAGAAGTATTTACGAGCCACTCATCTCTCAGCCAGAGTCCTGCAGCTTTCAATGGAAAACTAAAGAGTGCTAACCCCCAGGAACTCCGGCAAGCATCATCCACGGAGAATGTTTGCCAGCACTTAGAAGAAAAAACGCACCTTAAGTCCGAACCTGTGTTACCTTCCAAGTATCGGTACCTTCAGAAACCAGGCATGGAGACGTCAAGGTCCCCTTCTCCTCAGTTTGCACCACAGAAGCTCACTGATAAACCTCCTGTGTCTGTACAGGACGAGAACCCAGCCAGGTACTAGACATTGCTCCTTTACTATCTTAACACCATTTTGCCTGCTTAGACACTATTAATGGTTGACTCTTCTGTTTCTTCACTAAAAGCACATCCTTAGGATTCTTTAAGCATAAAACTTTCCAGCATATCCTAAAACGACTTCTGTGAAATTCTACTAAAATCCTTCAGCTGGTCTTCGGTTTCTTTTAGTTGGCTGATGCTTAATAATGAGAGAGGCTGCTCAGGTGTTAAAGCTGGTAGATGGTGGAAAACAAAAGGGTGGATTCAAATTGATTTTCCATTGCACGTCTGGGTGAAATCAGAAGATTCCCTTTCTGTTATCATTTCTTCTAGCCAAGTCTGTATGTGAATACAGATTGGTGCAGGGAGATAGCAGGTACAGGAAGGGAAGCTGTATCCTTTGTGAGAACATCTGTTTTGAAAGCTTACACAGTGAGGTGTACTGCCAAATTATAACTGTTTTCATGTTCCTTTTATGATGAAATTTGGCGTTCTGAGTAGTCTGTTGAGGAGACTGCAGCGTTATTTGTATTTCAGCAAGGTTCAGCGGGAGGATGTCAGTCTAGATGAACTCAGGATTAGACAAGCCAACTGAAATTAATTGATTTCTGTGACTGTCATACGCTGCTAATATCGCTAAAGGTTATTCTCCCTCAAGATAACAAACTCTTCCAGGAAGCTTGGAAATATTACTTCTCATAAATCCTTCAGCACTATAATTCATGCTTAAAGAATGAAAATAAAAGCTTCAAGCTGAATGAATGCTGAGGTTTCTCTGTGCAAAAGTATTTGGAGTTGCTTTTCTCCACTGTAGTGTAAATGATTGAATAGGCTCGGTCATGCTGTTTTCCAGGGTACCTTATGACATGGAAAGCATAACTCACCCCTCACCCCCCTTTTTTTTCCTGGGTATTTTGATAGCAGAAAGTGGCTTAATTTGCTTTTTAACAAATCTCTTGAAGCCAGCATCAGTTCTTGTTTTATTTTTTGCCTGGATAATGAGCTGGGGGCTCTGAGAAGAAGTGAGTTTGAAGGTTGGGGTGTGGGGGGGTGGATGTGAATTTGACTTAACCTACCATCTGCCTGTTAAGCATGGCTTGAGTTTTTTCCTCTTACAATAGGATGAAATAATGAAATTTCATCCTGCGGTGTTTTTAAGATAAAGAAGCAATATGGTATGTTATGAAGAGTGGAATATGTCACAGGATCCCTGGCACCTTTCTGCAAAGGTAGATGATGGTGGTGACATCCTTGAAGTGTTGCTTTGTGAATAGATACAAAGCTCACGAGGAAAGAGCTGATTGTATTTACCCTTCCTTTTTCCTGAGCTTTAATGCTAAAAAGCACACCGAGCTGTGCCTAATTATATGCCTGTATCTCAATGACATTTTGAATGTAAGGTAGAGCTCTTACCCAGCATATCTTTCATTAACATTTTACAATCTTATGCAACAGTCGTTTGTACACGACTGATTGTCCTCAGTCAATAATTACATTACTTAATGAAACAGACATGGCAAAATGGGAAGACATGCAGGCCCTGCATCTGAACCTTCTGTATTGTGCTTATTTCGTATGAGTAGAACATGTCAAGTAGACTTATATCTATATGTGATTAAGTAGATTTGGCCTTAGTACTTCTGTTAGCTCCTTGCATATGAGCTTTTGGACATGCCTGTTTGCATGCTGTAGGCAGTCCATATTCAGTGTTCTCAGCATGTAGCCGTTTACTCTTCTTTGAGAGAGGAATCTTGTTTATCAGCAAGATAAACTGAGTAGTGTGCAGGGTTTCCCACAACAATTTAGGTAGTCAGTGCAGTGTGGGGAGATACTGGCGGTGTGCAGAACCCAGCTATTTCCAAAGAAGATTGTTGGGCAACCATGAAGATGAAAAGAGCGCATTGGGAGATTTCCAGTGGACGTACACTCAGGTGGAGGAGTGCCCGTGGTTGGAATGAAGCTTCTCAATAGCCACAGGCAGAGTTGCTGCAAATCTAAACTTTACACCACAGATCCCCAGATGCAAAACCTTAAGAAATCAGAAGGATGCTGGTTGCAGAAACAGAATTTATGGAGCACCCAGCATTGAACCGTGTTTGCTCTGACTTGAAATCAGTTCAGATGATGATGCGTTAAATATCTGGAAAATCTTATGCTAGGCTGAGAGGAGAGGAAAGTACCCAGAGTCCCAAAACAGATGCTGGACATTTTAGGTGAAGAATTGCAGTCGACTAATTTCTTCTCTTCCAGTTGCCCCACACATATTTATGCACACACTTTGTATTTCCCCCAGCTTCAAAAATATGTTCCTCTTGGAGTGTAGCTGGGTCTGAAGGGTGTGGGCTTCATTAAAAAAAAATAAGAAAGAAAAGAAAATGTGGGGAGGTGGCTTAACATGGTTCAGACAAGAACGTTTTGACTAAACTGCACGAAGGGAGCAATTACACTTACAGGGAGCTCAGGCTGAGCAGCAGGCACAAGAGCAAGCTCTTGAAAATTACAGTCGTCCTGAATGAAAACATCCCAGCCTCGTGGCAGCGGGGGAGTCAGGGCAGAAGGGTGCGCAGAGGAGGACTCCGTATGTAATGGCTTTGTCATTTGTATTTTGGCTTTGTCAGAGCAGTAGTAGCCAGTGGTTGCCTGTGTCTGCATTGCTGTCACTGCTGTACCTCACTGGCTTATCCAACCTCGTTGGAGTTGTTCGGTGTTCAACATGATGGAAAACCTGCCCCGAAAGCTGGATCAGTTTGCCAAAGCTTGTCTGCAAAGCACTTGAGGAAAGTAAATAGCTACTGAGAGGCTGTACCTGCATTCGGAAGCAAATCTACTTTTACAATCTATTTTTAAGATGCAGCTTCTGAAAGTGATGAAGTGAAATAGATTTTTCTGTTCCCTGTGAAAGAAAAGTACAGCACAGAAAAGTCTAAGTTTATATTTAAGAAAAGTGACACACCCACACTTGGAGGAAAAGAGCTGTAGTATGTCTTGGTCACTTATCTGGAAGGCGGCAAGCAAGCGAGCCAGATGAAACCAGATATTTTAGCTAGTAGGCAATGTTCCTTTACTTGCTGTAGAGCTTCCAAACCCACATTATGACAATAATTTTAAACTTGCTGCAAACTCCAAACCACCAAAACTAGACTTTAGTTTCTTATATGGTTTACATACAGTACAGATGTTTTAGTAATGTTATTTAACATGTTATTGTCCAATTTAAAATCTTAGCCTCCTCTTTAAATAGCTTTATTTGCTGAATGTCCAAGGTGGCCCTTTGTACTGGGCAGTGCAGAGTTTTTGCTGTAAGCTTCACTTAAAGG